TAAAATTTGACAAAGGTGGAATTCCTGGAAGGTTAAAATCTACTTGTGTTTTCAAGGGTGTGAAAGGTCCAACAGGCTACGCAAAAAAGAACATTATGGCAGATAATCTTGTCAGTGCATTCTCGTTGATAATAGATAACTATATTATCGAACATATGAAAAACTGCACAGAAGAAGAAGGCCGCCGAATTTTGGGGAATGATTGGACAACAACATTACCGGAAACCCGTGCATTTATTGGGATTTTATATGCTCGTGGAGACTACGAGGCAAAAAATTTAAAAGTTAGTTATTTATGGTCAGCAAAGTGGAGTCCCGAATTTTTTAGAAGAACTATGACCAGAGATAAGTTGAAGCAAATCCTACGATTTATTCGTTTTGACAAAAAAACCGAAAGAAGTAGGCGTCTCCAAACAAATAAATTTGCCTTGGTTTTGGAAATATGGGGCAAATTCATTGAAAATAGTCAAGCTTGTTATCAACCAGGGCAAAATATAACAGTTGACGAGCAATTATTTCCGACTAAAGCCAGGTGCAAGTTTATACAGTATATGCCTAATAAACCCAACAAATTTAGCATCAAATTCTGGCTTGCATCAGATGTTAGTAGCAAGTACGTTTTGAATAGTTTTCCTTATTTGGAAAAAGATGAACAACGACCATCGTCAATGCTTCTCAGTGAACACGTTGTTCTGAAACTTGTCGAGCCATATACAAGCTGCGGAAGGAATATCACGACCGATAACTTTTTCACTAGCATGTCACTCGCGACGAAATTATTGGCCAAAAAAAAAACACTAGTTGGAACTATTAGAGGATATAAAAGAGAACTACCCAAAGCAGCCAAACAAACGAAGGATAGCATGCCTCGTTTTTCCACTCTCCTATATAAATCACAACATTATGTCCTTACAATATATAAAAGCAAACCGAATAAGAGAGTAGCTGTTCTAAGTTCCAGGCATAAATTTGTGAAAATTGATAAAAGTAATAAAAAAATGTTACCGGACTCTATTCAATTTTATAACAAAACAAAATTTGGAGTTGATATGGCGGATCAAATGGCCAGAAAATATACAGTAAAATCTAGTTCTCGTAGATGGCCCCTCCAAATATTTTTCAATATTTTAGATTTGGCTGTTATAAATGCTTGGATCCTTTACAAAGAAGCGACAGGAATGCAAATACAACGAAAACAGTTCTTGTTTCAATTAGCAAAACAGCTTCCCACCGATTACAGAACTGCAAGGCAGAAAAATTCATCAGAACATGGAGACCCACAAAGATCAACTGCAACATCATCAAATACAACATATTCTGACAAACGCAAAATTTGTCAAGTACGATTTTGCCACAAAAACAAAATAAATAATATATGTGAAAAATGTCAAAAGTATGTTTGTGTAAGATGTACACATAAAATGATTTCCACTTTCATTTGCTTAAAATGTACAAGTAATGAATAAATTATTTTTTTCCAAGTGAAGTAATTTTTTTTATCGTTAATACTTATTAATAACTTGTTGTATGACTGTAAATAATATTAAAAATTAATTTTAAACAAATTTCTTTACATATTAGTTATTCTTTCACTACCCAGTCATTTTGACTGCTTTTGGGCAATATAGGTATATACTAAGTTTCTGTCTTTCTAGTGTTAATAAATATCATTGTTTAGTAATACACATGTATAAAATTTAAAACATTACTGCATCATTTTACTTCATAAAATAAACATTTTTGGTTCAAATGAATCATACGAATTTGGATCATTAAAAAAAAAAAAAAAAAAAAAAAAAAAAAAAAAAAAAAAAAACATTTTTTTAATTAAAAAATATTGGAAAATGATGGAATAGAGAAAAAAGACTAAAAATGTTAAATGGGCTGCATACATGTAATATTGGGAAGTAAGGGTAAGTTTTAAAACTAATATTTTAAAATTTAGATATTTTTTGTCATTTATTTAAACACAATAAATTAATAAGTGGCTTTATGAATGAAACAATTTCCTGAAAGTTTGTAAAGATACCTTAAAAGTATTTAAAAATATAATATCAAATTTTGAAATTAAATACAGTTCGAAATAAAAATTTCTATAAAACTTCAACATGTTATTTTAAAAAATAAAAATATGTACTTCATAAAATGTTAGACGTTTTAACGTTTTTCCACAGAAAAATTTGTCACTACAACACTGACCAAGTTGTAAATAAAATACGTATTGCACGAATATATTTTATAGATCTTATAGAGCACAAATACAATGAACACTTAACAGTTGCTTTTCTATGTAAGTAACCAAAGTAATAGTGGCGTAAATATATGCAGCATGTTAATTGAAAACTCAAGTATACACAGATCTCAAGTATACACAGATCTGTGAGATGGAGCTCCAAATTTTTTTCAACTATTGAGGAGTTTATCATTTAAGTTGTTCAACATTTAACTGTCGTTTGATTTTAGTCGACAATGATTTGATTGTTAGATTGATCGACAATGATCAATGATTTGTTAGATTGATTTCAATCATAACTTTTACATGACGCTATTATTCTCTATTTAATAGCTATTCTTTTATCAATACTTTAAATATTTCTATCAGAAAATTAAACTTGAGTAATAAAAAAAAGTTAAAATCATTAAGAATAAAATACAATACACCATTTTTACAAACTTCCTACTGGACATTCCTCCTGAACGTTGTTGATCGTTCGACTTTAAACGCAACAATCAAAATCTCTATTTTGAAATGAATATTTTATATAAATTATTAATTTGATGAAAAAGTGGTAGAAAATTAAGTCAGTGCTGCATTAGAAAATATTTTGTATTACAATTAGAAGTTTTTGAAACATTTGAATTCCACACGAAATTGTTTGTTTATAGCAAAAAGAGAAGGAAAAAAATACTTCCACTCTTATCTTAAGATGAAAACCTACTAAACTTTTCAGTTTATTTTTGAACAGCATAGTCAAAACAGTTATCTGGGCTAAAAAAACTCGGAGTTGAGAGATGACTCAGAAATTTTCACCTTTTTAGTTTTGAAAACTACTACATTGAAATAAAACTTATTACTTACCATATTCATCATACTATTTCATATCATTAAATTGTTACTTGTATCATAAAAAATGTTCGATATACTATAGAAAAAGAAACTTACTTGTAAGACATATACACTGGAGAGCCATTACATTATGACCACCCTCCACCTATGTATTTATTATTTTGTCTCCATCTTCGCGGCCCGCGAAGCATTTTCTTGTGGCCCGCGAACTAAAATATATTAGTTGTGATTTTTTTACGGACAATTTTCGTAAAAAGTCTATATGGGTTTAAAATACTTTTCTCGTTAATAAAAACCTAATTTCTTCGTTTCTGTGAAATTTATCATACCAACGGTGCAAAGAAAATATTTCTCAGGTTTTGCATCCAAGAAAATANTTTTTTTTTTTTTTTTTTTTTTTTTTTTTTTTTTTTTTTTTTTTTTTTTTTTTTTTTGTATTTTGTGAATATAATTCAGCATGTGTGTATCAGAAATTTTTCGATTTAACTTTTTGAAACCACTCATTTTGGACGAAAATATTCAGACACATTTGTAAATTTTAAATTTAAAATGTAAATATCTATTCTTTGGTGGTTGCAGCAGACAAACCTCAATTTTCTAATTAAACATTTTGTGTTGTATTATGTATGTTTTAATACCAACCTTTTTAAAGTTTTATATCTTAACAATTAGATATCTGTTGCACATTAATTGTTTAATACATAGGTGCACATTAAAGTTATTGTAGCCCGAATTTTTATTATTTATTTAATATTTTTAAAAATATTATTAGTAATAATTAAGTATTTTTAAAAATTTACTTCTTTATTTTAATTTGTAATTCAATACTTTTGCTTTGTACAACTTGGTAAAAATCTGACCGTAATATTTAATGTTTCTTGAAACATAAAAGAGTCCTACATTAAATTTTGATAAAGTTGCAGCCCTCCATTTGATTTGTGTTTTTAATTGTGGCCCTCGGCCTCATGTATGTTGGAAACCCCTGATCTATAACAATGGGCTCGCCCAGGTTTTCATGGTTTCTCACCCAAGAACAATGTTTTCATGGGGCACATTAGGACCCATAATCCTCATAGAACAATCCCTGACGTCTGTAAGCTATTTAAACGTAGTTACAGACCAGGTTCACCCATTCATGACAACAGTTTTTCCAGCTGGGGATGGTGTTTACCAACAGGATAATGCACCATGTCATAAGGGTTGAATCGTCATGGATTGGTGCGAGGAACATTCCAGTGACTTTCAATTCATGTCTTGGCCCCCAAATTCACCTGACCTTAATCCAATGGAGCATTTGTGGTCCTACTTGGAAAACCAAATTCGTGCTGCAACGCTATCCCCTCGCAATGTGAGGGAATTGCAGGACCAGTTGGTGAGCGCTTGGTACCACATACCTCAGACTACCTATCAGCACCTTGTGGAATCAATGCCATGGCGGGTGCTAGCAGTTTTGAGGGCTAAAGGTGGTCCTGCATGCTATTAGCAGGGTGGTCATAATGTAATGGCTCTTCGGTGTATATATGAATGCTCTACAGTTTGAAAAGAAAAATACTGTTTCAAAACTTTCTTTTGTAAACTAGAATAAACCTTAAAAATATTCATTATTTTTTAAAAACCTCTGGGCACTAAGCTAAGGTCTTGTAACAAAATTTCAATTTATGTGTCACTTAAATTTATCAAATAATTACTAAAATTAAAGATAATTTATTTTCAAGTAGTATGTACACATTAGTAGATTTTCACTGTTTGGAATGGATACTAGTTTGCTGCTTAATGACAATTTCATTACTAAAATTGTTGACGGTAATTATCAATGTCATTTAAAATAACTCTATTGAATCTTCACTTACGCATTTCTATAATTGTAATTATGGCAATGAATTAGATATAATTAAGTTATCTAATATTTAATTAAAATCTCAAACAATAGATGAAAGCCAGAAAATATATATTTAGAAAAATATTCTTTTGTACAACCCTGCTTTGTTAACATCTCAAAATAAAGCATTATAGACTGCTTTAATTATTTTCAGTTCATTTTCTAACTGATTTGCTGCAGCTTTTAACTGGACAGCTTGTTCACTCACCGATCCCTTGTGGACATCGATAGAAGCTACAACAAGGTTTGCTACATCCAAAGCCACTCCAATACCAACTAATACACCTTGAGTGACCATTTTTGCTGTGGCTTTTGTGATAAGCTCTGTAGAAGCAAGTCCTGCTTTTGCAGCAGCATTGTATATAAGCATTCCTAGGTCACTCCCCATGTCAAAAAGTTTGAGTAGGCCCAAAACAGTGCGGTGTGTTAGAACAATACAATTGAATAATAGACTATTATTTTTACGGAAGAATATTACAACAAAGACAAAAGCTATAACAACTGGAATTATCTGCTCAAATTCAGAGCAAGCACCAAAACCAGATGGAGCAGCTTTTTCAACAAAAAGCTTAATAAGTTTTTTTAATAAAGAATGCATAACTCCAGTTTTTAAAGAAAGAAAATGCGTAACATCAGCTTTAAAATTTTTCAGACCTTCAAAAATTTCTTGCATTATATCAAATCCAATGATTTTATCCAATAAATCTATTAAGTTTTGAGAATGTTGAAACCACTTAGCCAAGGGTAAAAATTGCTTTCCGTCCTTTGTAAGAATTTCTTGCGCCTTACTCATCTTCTTGCGCAAGAGAGTTGTTTGTGTTACAGCTGTACCAAATACAGTAGCACCACCTGCAAGTGAAGCGATTCCACCAACAGCACCTAAAACTATAGCAGCAGGTGGGAAAACAAGAGATACACCAATAGCTACACCTAAAAATATTATAATATTAATAAACATAATCTTAATTGGGTTGTTCTTTTAACTACTCTCCATACAATTAAAATTACCAATACAATAAATTAAATACTTTGTAAAAAAATATCTATAATACTGACTTGTATAATATACACAAATGCTGTTCACCAAAAATATGTCACCATCACAGAATTTGTTTACTATTGTTAAAAAGAACAAGAAAACTTTTTTTTGCTCCTTTTCTGACCAATGCAAATGCGATTTAAAATTGCTTTTATATGATTTAAAATCACACATCGTGTTTCCAATTCACGAGATTTAAGAATGTGCATAGTATCTAATATTTCAGCAATTTTATATGAAATATCGCGTTTCATATTCACACGATTTAAAAGCTATTGTTATCATTCATGTTCAAGTGACATAAAAATTACTCATTGAAATTTGTATTCAGGCGATTTTAAAATGAAACATCGAGATTTGTATTCATGCGATTTTAAAATCATGCATTGAGATCTATATTCACACAATTTTAACAAATAAATAAAATTTTGCATCGATATTTTTAATAAAACATTGATAAATATTCAATGGATTTTTCTTTGGAAAAAATGTCATGTTTATTAATTACTTTCTACAGCTATGCAAGCAGGGCTTGCAAGTCTGTATTAAGACTGCATTAAATGTTTAATTTAATCTGTATTTTCAATCTCAAGAATCTATAGATTTTTAAAAATGTAATTTCAAATGTGTTGGAACTTAACACACATCAAGAAAGAAAGTAATTTCGTAAACTAAAAGTAATTAATGCAGCAATTTATTTAAAATAAATTTTAAAACTAAGAAAAGAAAATAATTAAAGTATCAATAATTCAAAACACTGTTTTTTAACTTTTAAAATCAATATATATATAAAAAAAATCAGTTGATTTAAATCAAGCTGATTTAAACATTTTTTTAAAAGAGTTTTAATTTTTTTAAAAGAGTTTTAATTTTCTATTTAACTTTACATTGATTATTATATATACCAGCACATATTTCTTCACATTTAGCAGTTTTTTGAAGATATTAAACTAGTTTTTGATTCACTATCTTTCTGTTGTATCCGAATTTTGTAAAATTGACCGCAGGATAAAATTTTGGCTGTTTTATATACAGATATATATACCGGAGTTCACCGTAGGAACAAAAAAGGGCAGGGTGTTTCTTAAGAGAATAGGGCACTTTGAGCTCACTTATCACTGTTAAAATTTATCAAAATCTGTAATATTATGTAATAACGGAATTTGATCTTCATTTCTTAAATTACCCTCTTACATTATTTAACGTGTAAATTTCACAAAGCAATTCTCACTCTAAATATAAAAATGACAGAAAACTTTGAAGCTTTTGAAAGAAAATTAAAGGCAAGATAAAAGATAATCCTTGTGCATGCATTTTCTTCATAAAGAAAAAAGTGGACTAAAAAAGATTAATTGATGAATAACTTAAAAGCTTTTTTTTTAATATTTTAAATTGAAAATTATAAGAAAATAAACATTTAAAGGCTAATTTTTAAATAAAAATTATTTATTGAATGTATATATGTGTATGCATGCATCAGTGTTCTCCCTATGTGTTCTTAGAAAGGCAGCTCGCCTTATTTGCCCTTTGATCCCTATAAATGTACCATCTTTTCCCTTTTTGTAAGATATAAGCTGCCATCCCTTAATAACACTGCCTTTTAATTCACATTCCATTAAAAAATAATAATAAATAACTCACTGTTTAAATAATAATTACACACTTGTAAAATTATCTGTATTTTATAGGTTTATATTTCTGATTACTATTAAAAAAAAAAATTCTCAAAAGGAATTCAAAGGGTTTATAAATGAAATTTTTAAGTGATTTTAAATAGTAAAATTATTTTTTAAATAAATATTTTTTTTTTTAAAAAATGCACCATTAAATAAATGTCATATTCTAAAATTTTCCGTATAAATTATAGAAAACAGCTTTCAAGTTGTTTATCACTGAATCACTTTTTTGTTAACATTTTTTGAAAAAAATTTATGTTCAGAGATTGGCCTTTAGCATCCATTTAATTATTGTTTTTATAAACTATACAAATTTTTCTCCTGTTTTTATAATGTGTGAGAATTACTTTTTGAAATATATACATAAAATAGTATAAGAGTTTAATTTAAGAATTGTTGAAGACCTAGTTCAGTTATTACATAACCGCACAATTACACATTACACAATTTGACAAATTTTTACGGAGTTAAATGAGTGCCCCTTTAAAATTCAAAGTGCCCTTTTCCGTGAGGAAGTGCCCTACTCCTCTTTATTCTTTGGGAGAACTCTACATACATATTTTATATATATATNTACCCTACACTGATGTTTTTTAAGGTTAAGTGCCACTGCCCGGCATACATTTGCCCTGTATACCCTACACTGATGTTTTTTTAAGGTCAAGTGCCACTGCCCGGTATACCCTACACTGATGTTTTTTAAGGTTAAGTGCCACTGCCCGGCATACATTTGCCCTGTATACCCTACACTGATGTTTTTTTAAGGTCAAGTGCCACTGCCCGGTATACCCTACACTGATGTTTTTTAAGGTTAAGTGCCACTGCCCGGCATACATTTGCCCTGTATACCCTACACTGATGTTTTTTTAAGGTCAAGTGCCACTGCCCGGTATACCCTACACTGATGTTTTTTAAGGTTAAGTGCCACTGCCCGGCATACATTTGCCCTGTATACCCTACACTGATGTTTTTTTAAGGTCAAGTGCCACTGCCCGGTATACCCTACACTGATGTTTTTTAAGGTTAAGTGCCACTGCCCGGCATACATTTGCCCTGTATACCCTACACTGATGTTTTTTTAAGGTCAAGTGCCACTGCCCGGTATACCCTACACTGATGTTTTTTAAGGTTAAGTGCCACTGCCCGGCATACATTTGCCCTGTATACCCTACACTGATGTTTTTTTAAGGTCAAGTGCCACTGCCCGGTATACCCTACACTGATGTTTTTTAAGGTTAAGTGCCACTGCCCGGCATACATTTGCCCTGTATACCCTACACTGATGTTTTTTTAAGGTCAAGTGCCACTGCCCGGTATACCCTACACTGATGTTTTTTAAGGTTAAGTGCCACTGCCCGGCATACATTTGCCCTGTATACCCTACACTGATGTTTTTTTAAGGTCAAGTGCCACTGCCCGGTATACCCTACACTGATGTTTTTTAAGGTTAAGTGCCACTGCCCGGCATACATTTGCCCTGTATACCCTACACTGATGTTTTTTTAAGGTCAAGTGCCACTGCCCGGTATACCCTACACTGATGTTTTTTAAGGTTAAGTGCCACTGCCCGGCATACATTTGCCCTGTATACCCTACACTGATGTTTTTTTAAGGTCAAGTGCCACTGCCCGGTATACCCTACACTGATGTTTTTTAAGGTTAAGTGCCACTGCCCGGCATACATTTGCCCTGTATACCCTACACTGATGTTTTTTTAAGGTCAAGTGCCACTGCCCGGTATACCCTACACTGATGTTTTTTAAGGTTAAGTGCCACTGCCCGGCATACATTTGCCCTGTATACCCTACACTGATGTTTTTTTAAGGTCAAGTGCCACTGCCCGGTATACCCTACACTGATGTTTTTTAAGGTTAAGTGCCACTGCCCGGCATACATTTGCCCTGTATACCCTACACTGATGTTTTTTTAAGGTCAAGTGCCACTGCCCGGTATACCCTACACTGATGTTTTTTAAGGTTAAGTGCCACTGCCCGGCATACATTTGCCCTGTATACCCTACACTGATGTTTTTTTAAGGTCAAGTGCCACTGCCCGGCATACATTTGCCCTGTATACCCTACACTGATGTTTTTTTAAGGTCAAGTGCCACTGCCCGGTATACCCTACACTGATGTTTTTTAAGGTTAAGTGCCACTGCCCGGTATACCCTATGCCTGATGTTTCTTCCAATCTATCGTCAGTAAGTATTAAAATACAGAATAAATATAAATATATCAAATAAATATAATAATATTAACGAATAAATTAATATAAAAGTGGATATAACAAATATTTCGGACATTCACCAAAGCGACTATGTCATTGTTGAAATTCACCGGTGAGAGTCAGAAATGAGGGTATTTAGCAAATATTTCGGACATACACCAAGCGACTACGTGAATGTTGACATTCACCGATGAATGTCGACATTATCCAGATTTCGGTGTTTCAACGTAACATATATATCAAACTTAGGAAAAATTAATATATATCCAATTATGAATGCTACTGTGAAGAAAATAAATATTATAAAAATCTTAGAACTAAGAAATTTAATGTTAAAAGTCACAAAATTTAGACCATTTACCATAAAGGGTGATTCCACGCTACTTGTAGCCTGGCATGCTTAAAAATATTTTTTTTTTCATTAAATTTAATAAACTACATACCAAATTAAAGGCCATTAAATGTATTTTATGAATATTCAATTGGTTTTTTTAAAGAAAGTGATGCACTTTCTTTAAATTGTATAAAATGTAAAAAATTGAGTTTAAAAGTTGCAGACTTGACAAAGAGAAAATAAATTTCTTTTGCTATTGCAGCATTTAATATTTATAATTAAGCATGGTATTTTAAGAGATATATTGTATTTACATAATTAATGACTGAAAAAATGTCATTTTTACGTTTATTATTTAAATATGGGGTGCTTATAAGAGAACATGCTTACTTTTTAATGATTTTTTTTTCTCAAATTTTATTAAAACAAAGTAATTAAACGATCAATTTTCTTAAAAATGTGATTTCCTTCAACTATTTGCAGTGTTGTATTATTATTATTTTTAAAAAATTATTATTATTTTAAATATTTTTTAAAGAATTTTTAAATTGATCATTCATTTATTCATACAATTCTGAATTTGCTTTAAAGATAAATAATATGACAAATAAATTGCAATGTAATTTTTTACACATCATTTGCCTGGAGTCTAAAATAAAACTAATTTGCAATAATTAATTTTATAATAAAAATCTAAGTTCAAAATATTAAAAAAAAATGAATAAACAATCATAATTTACTCAATATTTTATTCAATAAAAGAAATCTGTAATATTCTAATGATATACGACCATCTAAGAAAGTTATAATTACAAAGAGAAACTTTTTGTCATGTCTGCAACGTCATGTCCGCAACATACATGTTATATTTAATTTGGTAATTTTCAACTAAATTAATTTTATTTCTTCAAAAGTCTTGTGATTTCTTTTATAGAAATAGACACTGAAATCTTACCTAAAAAAAGTTTTAATTTATTTCATAAAATTCGGAGATTTTGGTGAACGTAGAAAAACTTTCTAAAAGTCATATTTTCTGCATCATGTCCGCAACCCTTCAAATTTTTATTTTGAAGGTGTTTAAATTCATTATAATTTTTAAATATGCATTGGGTTAAAATAAGTTCATTTTAATTTTTAAATATGTATTGGGTTAAAAGAAGACAGGTTTCCTGATTTTATAATGTAAAAAACCACTCACCTAACAAAATTTTTTATTTAATTATGTGCAATCAAACTTTGTAAATGTCATGTCCGCACATACTGTGAAATCGCCCTATATCAATTAAGAAAATACTAAAATACTTTCTTCATGCTCTCAATAATTCTTGTTTAAAGATATCAAATAGATTCTACAATTGCTCCGTTTGGCTTGAGCTATATAACTTCAATACATTTTATTAATAATACAATAATCAAGCAAGGTTTGCCAAGTGGGCCCACTTTGAAACCCCCCCCCCGGGGTTATATATAAATGCTTAATAAATATACTAAACAGATGTGTGTGGGAAAAAAAAGATTGATGACATTTTTCCTTTTATATTACTGTTGCATTTACATTTTATAATACTTGAGTTAAAAATTGTAAAACATTATGTATTTAACAATAAAGATTCAAATATGTATTAGTGATAATGTGTTATTTAAACTTATTTTAATTTTGTTAAATATATTTTATATAAAATTTTTGGATTTATTTCCCTTTTTAAGCTTATACAACACTATTTAATAAATAAAAATATTTACGCAGTAAAACTTTAAAGTTTTTTTTACTAAATGAACAAACCCAATTTTTCCCAGGTTTTTTCAATAAGTTTTATCAAACCCTGTAATTAAAGGACTAATCAAAGATTATGTAAGCTCTAGGTAGAAAGGGGTAAGTTTGAGATTTGTTAATTTCTGAGGACAAAATAAAAGACATGTAGAAGAAATACTGAATTTTTCTTTTCAAAATTAAAATGCAAACAAAAAAAATTTGCACATTTAAAATTTTATTATAACTTTTATCTTGGAAAAGATTCTAATAGATGTGTAACATATTGAAATAAATTTCATCTTGGAAAAATTTCTAATAGATGTGTAACATAGAGATAAAAAATTCCAACTTGCTATCCATGAACTAAATAAACAAAGCTACAGGACAGATGTGAAGTATGACTCTTAAAGAGTAAAAATTAAAAAAGAATGAAAGAGAAGAAATTGTAAACTAATTAAAATGAAAACTGCTTAAGAAGTAAGCCATTGAATGTTTAAGTTTAACAGAATAAACAAAGAACAAAATAAACAAAGCTACAGGACAGATGTGAAGTGTGACTCTTAAAGAGTAAAAATTAAAAAAAGAATGGAAGAGAAGAAATTGTAAACTAATCAAAATGAAAACTGCTTAAGAAGTAAGCCATTGAATGTTTAACAGAATAAACAAAGAACAAAATAAATAAAGCTACAGGACAGGTGGGAAGTATGACTCTTAAAGAGTAAAGACTCTTAAAGAGTAAAAAAGAATGAAAGAGAAGAAATTGTAAACTAATCAAAATGAAAACTGCTTAAAAAGTAAGCCATTGAATGTTTAAGTTTAACAGAATAAACAAAGAACAAAATAAATAAAGCTACAGGACAGGTGGGAAGTATGACTCTTAAAGAGTAAAGACTCTTAAAGAGTAAAAAAGAATGAAAGATAAGAAACAGTAAACTAATCAAAATGAAAACTGCTTAAGAAGTAAGCCATTGAATGTTTAAGTTTAACAGAATAAACAAAGAACAAAATAAACAAAGCTACAGGACAGGTGGGAAGTATGACTCTTAAAGAGTAAAAAAAGAATGAAAGAGAAGAAATTGTAAAATAATCAAAATTAAAACTGCTTAAGAAGTAAGCCATTGAATGCTCTAAGTTTAATTTTACACGGTAACTTTTTCATCAAAATAAAAATTCTAACTATAAATTTGAAGATGAGAATCTGATCAGTAGATTCTAAGTATGGTCAAACAAAATCCATAAAATGGATTTTATGGATTTTGCAGAATCCTTGCCTGTTGCAGAATAAATGTCAAGTCTTGGCAACTTCTGGGCATTAAAAATTCAGAAAGGGACCAAATCGAAAGGTATGACTAACAGCCACTCCCGGGCAAACATATACATAATTTTTTTTTTTTTATTAAGATTTTCAATGCACATTTGCAAGATTCAATTTGCAAATCTATTTAACACCTTGGCCATTGTAGTTGGCCCGACAGATCACGATACGGAAATATTTTCTATAAACTAGACTGCTTTATAATGTCATATGTATTTAGAATTTATGTTATTTTAAAAAGTGACAGCACTAAAGCATATTTAGAAAATTAAAGTGGAGATTACCTTATCGTGATCTGAGGCAGAAAAATCGTCCAGTAATTAGAAGGAGGGAGGGGGGTAATAATGGCTTTAAAGTTTTATTTTATAAAAAGGAATTCGGTTATTGGAATTAAATGAGTTTGCAGAAACAATTTGTATGTGCAGATAGTTTAATTTTGTCTTACTTTGCTCTTAAGTAATTTAACCTATATTTTGGCGTGCAGTTAATTAAATTATATTTCAAAATCGCCTACGCAATATTACAGGTTTAACATTAATTTTAAAAAAAAACTAAGGAACCCTTTTTTTTTTAAAATTTCTTAAGCATTTAAATTAACAAAAATCATACCTCCAGCTATACCAACAGAACTGCCGGTTATTGTGGCGACATTACAATTAAAGCGATCAGTATTGATGCAATCAGCTATCTCTCTTAAACGAGAAATATTCTTTTTCCTGGAAGGAGCCCACTTAGGGCAATATTTCTGAAAACTCTGTCGAGCCTTTTGTGCTTCATTGAAGGCATCGATAATCATTCTCAAATTTCTTCTTGTTAACTCGAATTTATTAGTGAATTCCACATCATTCTCATCTTCATCTGAGGATTCTTCACTCGAAAGATCGCCATTAGCCATGCTCATAACAACTTCTCTAGCATTTTCAAAGATTAACGAAGCGATTAATTTTTCTTCTGCTCTAAGTGATTCAATTGTAGATGTATTGAAAACACTGTTAAATAAGGCCAAGTGTGACATATTTGCTTCGGTCATATTGAAAGCTTTCTTATAAAATCCTATTATCACATCAGTTTTAAAAAATCCGTTTGATTATAAAAGCAGAAGAGAAAAGTACAAACTAAAGCGTCTTGAAAGTGAAACTAAGGCCGTTCCAGGCTGTGTTCAAACTATCATATCAGGCATGCGCAGCACATCTTGCCACTTCGGAGGTTTTAGTTTCACTTTCACTTTAGATTCCTCGCCAGCTATTGTTGCATTAAGACGCATTCTCTGTATTCTAAATGTTATAATTTATCACACACGCAGGTATAACTTTTCCCATGGGGGTTTTCAGAAATTAAAAATTGACAAATTGAAGTGAGGTTAAATTTAAAACCGGTGTCTAAACTTATGCTTTATTTATCTTTAATGATTAAATTGGTTATATTAAATTAATTTATATAATTGATATATTATAACTGATATATTAAATTGGATACGTTTAAAACTGAGTATTGTATTAATAAATTTAAAACTGAATTTTATTTTTAATCTGTATTAGAAGATCTATTAAATTTGGAACAGGAAACTATGAATACGATTTTCTTATACCATATCTCTTTATAGTCTATTAAAATTTGACTTCTTCTACTAAAGAATTAATACCAAAGATTTTTTTTCTTCATAAAAAGCTTTTTTTGGTTACAATAAATGATACCTGAAAACTCCCCATCTCTGATGTTACACTTATCCTCTTTTTGAAAGAAATAATGGGGTGATGTAAGGGGGAGAAGGGAGCCTATTTTCCGTGAGAAATATTTTTTCGGTTTAAATCTTCCCACTGAATTTAATGAGATCTATTCCAGGACCATCAGTCTAATAGTTTAGAAGTTATAAGGATTTTATGTATAAAAAGTACTAATTTGTACTTGAACCTATTTACGCTTCTGATATTACTATCTAAGACACGCAAAATATGGATTCCTGTATTATACACAAGTCAATGGAACAAAAAGTTTAAAAGTTGAAGGATTTTTTTTTTATCTATAAACAATAACTCTTTTTTTTTTCTTTTTTTTGCACGGACTGATTTATATAATTCATATTGCTATCCAGAAGCTTTCTGCATATCTAATGTAAATTTTCCAATGCAATTGTTCACGCAATTATATGAAACCAATCCCAAGACAATCGAACTAATAGTTTAGTACTTGTAAGCGTTTAATGTACAAAAAATATAATTTTGTACTTGCTCTTATTTACATATCTAGCTATACAGACAAGTGAGGTACTGTTCACTATGCATTTTTTTCTGGTTTTATCTAATGAGACAAAAACGTGAAGGGCTGATATTTAAAATGTTGAAATGATAGTACAGAGGAGAGATAGGGAGTTTTCATTTATCACTTCGAAGAAATGCCTTTCTTTTTGTACGATACCTAATTATTGGACTATTTAATCATGGCGAAGAAAATGTATAGGAACCCTAACGTTATGTTCAGAAATATATATCCGAGAGAAAAGAATAACGTGTAAAATCTGTGTCATAGAAGGACAATATTTGATAAAAAGTACTGTATGTGACAGGGGTCTTCACAAATACAACTTTAGGAAAAACGGCAGTTTCACAAATTCAACTTTAGGAAAAGCGGTAGTTTCACAAAATACTTTTTCTTAAAATTTTATTTTTTTATCCCTTAAGAAACGATAAATCCATATTTTTACCATACTTTCGTGTTGATTTTTTAATATAATTTTTAATTTTTCACAAATTATGTCTAAATTTTCACAAAATAGGTACCTCTTACAAAAACCTAGACAGACCCCTGGTGATATAGGAAAGAGACTATTGAACTTTTTTTGTATAACGGTGGGTGATATTTGAAACACATTGCTAGAAATTATTTTACAGAACAAAAAATTTCAACACACTTTTTTCAGTAGATATTACTAAAACTAGCTTAATGTCACACATGTTACTCTGCTCTAATATCTTAATGGAAAAAATAATGTGAAATCTATATTTTACACATATACGTAAATGAAGTATGGTATGTTGTTCCTTCTTTCCAATGAAATTTGTAGACTGAAAATCTTCTTTCTTTCCCTCTTTGTTATTATTATTTTTTATAAGTTTACACTTGCAGCAGTAATCCTGCAACAAGTTTCTAGGTTTAAGTTAAAACTTTCAATATTGATAGAATTATTTTTCCCCAATAGTCAATTCCTTTGATAATTTCAGGTTTCTTTGACCCTTAAACTCTGAATTAATGCAAAATGAGTTTTGAGGAGAGAATATTTTTATTTATAGGTGAATAGTTAAAAAAAAAAAATAATAATAATGACAAATACAATTTTTAAAAAGTTTATAACAATCAATTTCTTGAACAAGAATTGCAAAAATGTTGCTAATTATTCAACATCACAGACTCCACATCAGCGCAAATACGTCGAAACTTGTAGAAGAAAGGGGGGAGGTACTACGACATATCTCCTGGGATCGATAATACTTCAGTGCAAATATATATATATATCAAATATATTTGCAGATTTGTGTAAGCAAAATTAAAACTTAACTTTATGTTAGGTTAGTCTTACATATTTTAAATAGGGACCCATTATTCGTAAAAAGGGATCCAAAAATATGAAAGTTCTAGGTCCTATTTCCAAATTGTGGCTAAATCACAGAATACATTTATTGCTCATTTTCTTAGAATAAAAATATCATTCAAAGGCACAGGTGAAAGCTTCCACATTACAAAAAATAGTTCATGCCCAATGCTCTATAATATATACAGGTGTCAACAAATTAAGCTTGTCACAAATTAAATTAACATCTAAAATGTATGTGTTAAGGTAACATTCATTAGTATATCACATAGTATTCATTATAAAATGAATATCTCCATATTGCTTATATCAACATAGCAATGGTCTTAAGTTTGGCAAATACCACAACACAAATCAGCATAGCTTTTTATAATACAGCTGACTACAATATACAAAAAAATATATAAAAAATACACAAAATACATAAAAAATGCACAAAATACAAAAAAAATAAAATAAATTTTAATAAATTAAATGTTTAAAAATCTCTTTAATGATACAAAATATGTGCTCTGGCCCTAAGTTGTAAACAAGTTATAGTTTTTAAAAAATTGAACTGTGACTATAGCACACTTATTTGGGAGTCGAAAAATATGTAGGAACAATAGCAGCATAAAGCAGAGTTGAAGGGAAAAAAACAGTTTTGTTTTCCTTCCTTATTTCACAAAAAGAAAGAAATAAAACTAGGCTATTTTAATGCCCTAAATTAAAAATAGTTAAATAATAAAAAGTATTTAATAGATTTTTTTTTTCAACAATTAAATTATGTTTTTAATAAGGAAAAATATCCATTTTTCTTCAATGCATATGTATATGCATGTCACTTAACCATGCAATTAAAAATTTAATATCTTAATGTTGTATTAGCAATGCATGTAAAAGAGTAAATTTCTTTTTACTTGTCAGTATGTATGCACATGCCACACTTCAGCATTGTTTAATAAATGTTATTGTTTAGCAACATACGTGTTAACAATTTATAACATTACTGCATCAACAATTTATAACAAATCAATTTACTTGTATATAAAACATATGAAATAAAATTTTTTGATCCAATGAATCACAAAAATTCGAAGCATAAAAAATTTAAGAAAATACATTTTTCCAATAAAAAAATATTGGAAAATGATGAAATTGAGAAAAAGACTGAAATGTTAAAATGGCTGCATATATATATTGGAAAATAAAAGTAAGTTTTAGAACTAATACTTTAAAAATTAAGTAATTTTTGTCTTTTGTTTAAACACAATAAATTAATGGATGAATGAAATAATTTCTTTATGAATGAAATAATTTCTTGAACAAGAATTGCAAAAATAATGCTAATTATTCAACATCAGTGATTCCGCCTAAGCGCAAATATGTCGAAGCTTGAAGAAGAAACGGGAAAAATAAGTTACGACACATCTCCAGGTACCGATAATACTCCAGTGCAAATATTTATGTATAGTACGTCTGCAGATATGTATAAGCAAAATTTTATAACTTTAAGTTTGGTTAGTCTTATTTAAAAGACTTATTCAAATATAACTCTTTTTAATTTGAAATCCCTTGTTTTGTCTATCAATAAATAAGATATCATAAATGTGAACATTAATGTGGATGGATAAAGAAGTGGAAAATACATATTTTAAAATGAACCCATTATTAGTAAAAAGGGATCCAAAAATAAGAAAGTCCAAGGTCCTATTTCCAAATTCTGGCAGAATCACTGAATACATTTACTGCTCATTTTCTTAGAATAAAAATATCATTCAAAGGCACAGGTGAAAGTTTCTACAAAAAATAGTTCATGCTCAGTGCTCAGAAATATATACAAATGTCAACAAATTTACCTTGTCACAAATTAAATTAATGTCTAAAAAGAATGTGTTAAAAAGGTAACATGCATTCTTTAAAAAATGAACATCATCATACTGCTTACATCAACGTAGCAATGGTCTTATGTTGGGCAAATACCTCAACACAAATCAGTGCAGCTTTTTATAACGTAGCTGGCTATAATACACACAAAATATATGAAATATATACAAAATACATAAAATATATACAAAATATATAAAAAATACACAAAATATATAAAAAATAAAAATTTAAAATTTTTTTTGTTTAAAAAACTTTTTAATGATACTAATTGTGTGGCATAAGTGGTAAACAAGTTACAGTTTTTAAAAAATGTTACTGTGCCTATAACACACTTAATTGGGAGTCGAAAAATATGTATGAACAACAGCAGCTTAAAGCAGAGTTGAAAAAAAAAAGTTTTTTTTCTTCTTCCTTTTTCACAAAAAGAAAGAAAACTTGGTTATTTTAATGCCCTAAATTAAAAAGAGAAGGGAAAAATATTTCTGATCAAAAAGAGAAGGGAAAAGTATTTCCGCCCTTAAGATTAAAACCAATTAAACTTTTCAGTCTGTTTTCGAAGAGCATAGTCTAAACAGTTATCTCTTAGTTGGGAAACCGACTCAAACAGAAATTTTAACCTTTTTAGTTTTGAAAACCACTACATTGAATTAGAACTTATTACTTACCACATTCATCATACTATTTCATAAGATTAAATTGTTACTTCTATCTTTAAAAAAATGTTATATATACTATGAAAAAAGAATTTCACTTATAAGACACATGTATATATTAATGTTCTACAGTTTGAAAAAAAAATTACATTTTTACAAAGTTGTTACTAATACTGTTTTAAAACTTTCTTTTGTAAAACTAGAGCAAACTTTAAAAATATTCACTTATTTTTTAAAAACCTTTGGTCACTACTCTAAGGTCTTGTAAGAAAATTTTAATCTATGTGTCTCAAATTAAATGTAAATTTATCAAATAACTACTCAAATTAAAGCAAATTTATTTTGAAGTAGTATGTACTCATTAGTCGATTCTTACAGCTTGGAATGCATACTAGTTTGCTCTTTAATGACAATTTCATTACTAAAATTGTTGATGGTAAATATCAATGTCATTTAAAATAACACTATTGAATCATCACTTATACATTTCTATAATTGTAATTATGGCAATGAATTAGATATAATTAAGCTATCTAGTAATATTTAATTAAAATCTCAAACAATAGGTAAAACCCAGAGAATATGTATTTAGAAAAATACTCTTTTGAACTAGTCTGCTTTATTAACGTCTCAAAATAGAGCGTTATAGACTGCTTCAATTACTTTCAATTCATATTCTAACTGATATGCTGCATTTTTTAACTGGACAGCTTGTTCACTCACCGATCCCTTGTGGACATCGATAGAAGCAAAAACAAGGTTTACTACATCCAAAGCCACTCCAACACCAGCTAATACGCCTTGAGTGATCATTTTTGCTGTAGCTTTTGTGATAAGCTCTGTAGATGCAATTCCTGCTTTTGCAGCAGCATTGTATATAAGCATTCCTAGGTCACTCCCCATATCAAGTAGTTTGACTAGACCCAAAACAGTGCGGTGTGTTATAACAATACAATCGAATAATAGACTATTATTTTTACGGAACAATATTACAACAAAGACAAAAGCTATAACAACTGGAACTATCTGCACAAAACCAGAATAAGCACCCAAACCAGCTGGAGCAGCTTTTTGAATAAAAAGATTAATAAGTCTTTTTATTGAAGAATGCACAACTCCATTTTTTAAAGAACGAAAATCTGTAACATCAGCTTTAAAATTTTTTAGACCTTCAAAAATTTCTTGAATTATATCAAATCCAATGATTTTATCCAATAAATCTATTAAGTTTTGAGAATGCTTGAACCACTTAGCCAAGGGTGAAAATTGTTCTCCGTCCTTTGCAAGAATTGCTTTCGCCTCATTCATCTTCTTTTGCAAGAGAGTTACTTCTGTTGCAGATGTACCAAATACAGTAGCACCACCTGCAAGTGAAGCGATTCCCCCAACAGCGCCTAAAACTATAGCAGCAGGTGGGAAAACAAGCGATACACCAATAGCTACACCTGAAAATATTATAATATTAATAAACATAATCTTCATTGGTTTGTTCTTTTAACTACTATACATACAATTAAAATTACCAATACTATAAATTAAATACTTTGTAAAAAAATATCTATAATACAGACTTGTATAACATACACAAATGCTGTTCACCAAAAATGTGTCACCATCACAGAATTTGTTTACTATTATTAAAAAGAACAAAAAAACTTTTTTTTTGTTCCTTTTCTTACCAATGCAAATGCGATTTAAAATTACATTTATATGACTTAAAATCACACATCGTGATTCCTATTCACAAGATTTAAGAATGCGCATAGTATCTAATATTTTAGCAATTTTATGTTAAATATCGTGTTTCATATTCACGGGATTTAAAAGCCATTATTATCATTCATGTTCAAGTAACTTAAAAATTATTCATTGAAATTCGTATACAGGCAATTTTAAAATGAAACAATGAGATTTGTATTCATGCGATTTTAAAATCACGCATTGAGATCTATATTCACACTATTTTAACAAATAAATAAAATTTCACATCAATATTTTTATTGAAACATTGATAAATATTCAACGGATAAATGCTTTCGACATACTTTTTTCTAGTTCAAGTTTTAAGTATTTTTTAAATGTTTTTGCACTTATTATTTTCGGATTTCTACTTTCGGCTTTCTTGGTTTTTTACCGAACTTAGCAGTATGAATCAATATAAAGTTCCATAAAAATTACATATTTCTATAACATTTGTCATTTTCAAATAATTTTCGCCAAAATGAGGTGGTGATGAAAGGATTGAAACTAGTAACAAGAGTTAGCGTGTGAAGAGTTTTTTTTAATTGAGATTTCATGTTCACAAAAAGTTTTTCTTTTTATCTAAGTCTGCTATTCTTTAAAGACTGTCTCAAATATGTATTTTTAGAATCTTTATAGAAAAAAAAAAGTACACACAAGGCAAGAGACAGACCTAACTAAAAAAAAAAACTTTCTATAAACACAAAATATCAAAAACTTCCTGCAAGTAAGTTAGACTCTAATAACTAATATCAACTCTTACATCACAACCCAATTCTACTGAGATTCTTTCAAAAATCAATGATTCTTTCTTATAAGTGTTGTAATTTTTATTAAACTTTACATGGATTATTATTTATTATATATATACCAGCATATATTTATTTACATTTAGCAGTTTTTTGAAGATATAAAACTAGTCATTGATTCACTCAACTCTTTGTTGTATCCGAATTTTGTAAAATTGACCACAGGATAAAACATGGAAATTTTAGCTGTTTTATATACATATACAGAAGTTCTCCCTAGAAATAAAAAAGGCCAGGGCACTTTTAGTTCATTTATCACTGTTAAAAAATTTATCAGAATCTGTAATAACTGAATTTGATCTTCATTTTTTAAATTACCCTTTTACATTATTTTACAAGTAAATTTCCCAAAGTAATTCTCACTCTAAATTTCAAATTCACAGAAAACTTTTAAGCTTTCAAAAAAAAATAAGAAAATTAAAGGCAAGCTAAAAGACAATCTCTCTAAACATTTTTATAAGGAACCTTCCTGCTTTTTGATTCTTATAAATGTGTCCTCTTTGTAAAAATAAGCTGCTCTATCCCTTAAGCTCACTTCCTTTATATTTTAGGAAAAAGTTCTTTTCTTGACTACCTGTTTTAATTTAAATTAATAGATAATAATAACTTTAATTTAATTCCTTCATTTTAAAAAGATTTTTCTTATGTTGTCCAGTCATCTAGTTAAAATTGACATGATATTCGGCCTCAGACATATTCACATTAAAAAAAATTTCTTTCAAAATTTTAGATTAAATTTTTTAAAGGTATTGTCAGATTATTATACAAGGGTTGGGATTTCTTTAGGAAAAAAGTATATTTTTTTCAAGACACTGAAAAGGACAGGATATAATTATGATCTAAAAATAACCAGTACAATTGTTTAGCAATAACTCTTGGCTTGTATTTAAACACATAAAATTTTATGTAGTACAAAAAAAAATTGTAAGTTTCCCTGCATATCTCTTTTTAAAAATATTGTTTTCGTAATTTACTTTTATACAAAATTATAATATCTATTTAAGCTATTATAATATTTTATTATTTAACAGATTATGTCTTATTCCCATAAATAAATATAAATATGCATCTGTACATCTAAATAAAATGTGTGTATTTTATTATTTTAAGTTTACATATTGTAATTTTTATATAAAAAAATTTATTTAATTAATTTAATAATTCAGAAGAAATCAATTATTTCTGGTTCAATATTTATGGATTTCTTTTTTGAGGAGGGAGGGGAGAGTATAATAATGAATTATTTTATAAAAGTTTCAAATTTTTCTGTTATTTCAATAATGAGTGAAAATCACTTTTTCAAGTATACACATAAAATGGTACAGTAGGGAACCGATTATCCGGAACGATCGGGACCATCGCTATTCCGGATAACTGATTTTTCCGGTTTTCTGAATCGCTACAAAGAGCCGTTTGTTTATTGTTTAACAAAAAAATGTTTTTTTGGAAATAATCTTAAAAAGAAGAAAAAATGATGAAGGAATACACTAATGATTATTTCCAAAATGATGGTAAGGTAAACATCTTTCAAAAAAGAAAAAAAAATNTGGATTTCTTAAATTTTTGTTATTTTCAACTCTTTTTATTTAGTTTGTCATTGATGTCAATACATAGATTTATATGGGAAGGGAAAAATAGCCATCACACCCCCTTGTTGCACTTGTCTTTGAAAGTTTGCAGTTACTTCCACTATCATAAAATCATAATTATTTAGAATGTCTAAAGACCATAGAAAGAAATTATTGCCTTTTTAGAATAATAATGCCCATTTTTTAAACTTCTGCACCCTGCCCTTTTTTCTGCCTAGAATGAGCTCTGAATTACATAATATTACACATTTTGATGAATTTTGAAAGAGGTAAGTGAGCCCCCTTTTATGTGAGGATGTCCCCTGCCCTATTTTTATTTCTAAGGAGAACTTTGAATTTGTTATATATATCACTCATGGGCTGCAATAGTGGCACAACTAAAAAAACATGTGTTTTGGTCTAACAACAGGTGTAAATATGAAAATGCACATTCTTTTCAGCAGCAATACCAGCACAACTCTAGCTCAAGTTGAAGGTAATATTCGTTTAAGAAAGCTAAAGAATTTCTTATGCATTTCATTAGCAATGAAAACTTTAAACCCACTTATCACAAAACACGACTTTTTGAGTTGTGCAGCTGTTGCAGCCCATAAGCGATATATTAATATCAAACTTAGGAAAAATTAATCTATCCAATTATGAATGCCACTGTGACGAAAATAAATATTTTAAATTTGTTGAGAAACATCATAAACATATTAATACAAGAAATTTAAACATTATAAAAAACTCAGAACTAAGAAATTTAATGTTAAAAGTCACAAAATTTAGACCCATTTACCATACATCAATTCAGAAAATTCTAAAATACTTTCTTAATGTTCTCAATAATTCTTGTTTAAAAATATCAAATAAATTCTACGTTTGTTCTGTTTGGCTCGAGCAATATAACTCCAATACCTATTAATAATGCAATAATTAAGGGATTAATCAAAAATTATGTAAGCACTAAAGGGGGAAGTTTGAGATTTATTAATTTCTGCGGGGGAAAATAAAAAATTCAAAGAAAAAACTCTTAAAATTTCTTTTTTCAAAATTAAAATGTAAACAAAAAGAAAAATTGCACCTTTAAAATTTTAATAACAACTTTCCTTTTGGGAAAGTTTCCAATATATGGGTTACATATAGATAAAAAATTCCAACTTGCTCTCCAGGAACAGATAGGGAGTATTCATTTTGGGTAAAATAAAGAGTCAAAGTTAAAGAATGCAAGAGAAGAAATTATAAACTAATTAAAATGAAAACTGCTTAAGAACTAAGCCATTGAATGCCCTGTCATTACTCTAAAAGTGAGTTTTGTGCTTTTGAGTTCTTAGAGCACACTTTAAATAGTCATGACACTCAGTTCAAAAATACGAGACAAAGTTTAATTTTTTATAACTTTCCCATCAAAGTAAAAATTTATATAAACTATAAATTTGAAGATAAGAATCTGAAGTAATATCAAATAAAATCCAGTAAAAATGTTCCCCGAAGTTCTTTAAAATCCAGAATCATGATAATTCTTAAAGATTTTAATTTTTTTTTTTTTTGTTGCAGTTTGTTTGATAAATTATTTAAAATATGTATGAAAGAGAAAAATGGTGTCACTTGAAAACTATGACCTGGGTTGTTAGAAAAGTCAACAGATAAATAAAAATTGCTTACATTTCATAAGTTGAAGAAATTTCCCCCATCTACATGTTTTTTTTTAAAGAAAAATTTGCAAGTTTAAAATCTATTTGGCACCTTGGCGATTGCAGTTGGCGCGACAGATACGGAAATATCCCCTTTTGCTGACAGTTTATTTTAGTTTCCTTACTTTGCTCTTATGTAATTTAACCTATATTTTGGTGTGCAGTATTTTAAAATCTCCTATGCAATGTTACAGGTAAAATATTAATTTAAAAAAAAAAATTAAGGATCTTTTTTTTTTAAATTTCTTAAGCATTTAAATCACAGTATTAATAAGTCATACCTCCAGCTATACCAACAGCACTGCCGGTTATTTTGGCGACATTACAATTAAAGCGATCAGTATTGATGCAATCAGCTATCTCTCTTAAACTAGAAACATTCTCTTTCCTAGAAGGAGTCCACTTAGGAAAATGTTTCTGAAAACTCTGTCGAGCCTTTTGTGCTTCATTGAAGGCATCGATAATCTCTTTCAGATTTCTTCTTGTTAACTCGAATTTATTAGAGAATTCCACATCATTCTCATCATCTGAAGATTCATCACTTAAATGACTGCCATTAGCCATGCTCTTAACAACTTCTCTAGCACTTTCAAAGATTAATGAAGCGATTAATTTTTCTTCTGCCTTAAGTGATTCAATTGTAGATGTATTGAAAACACTGTTAAATAAGGCCAAGTGTGACATATTTGCTTCGGTCATATCGTAACTTACATATAAAATCTTATCATCACATTAGTTTTAATCCATTTGATTAAAAAAAAGCAGCGAAGTGAAACCAAAACTTAACATGCGTTGTGTATTTAGTAGTAGCTAGAGTATATATAGAGTATATTTAGTAGTAGCTTAGAAGGCACTCTAGTAGTAGCCATTCGAGGATATATCAAAGATTCAGCATTGATAGTATGGGAAGATTGGCAAAGGGAAGTTTCCCTTCTTCACGCGAAGCTTCTTTGCTGGCTATGTTTACGAATCATATCACGCATGCGCAGTCGGAGCTTTCCCCACTTCGGAGGTTTTACTTTCAGTTTAGATTCTTGCCTCAGCTATTGCTGCGATAAGACGTATCCTCTGTATTCTAAATTTTATAATTTATCAAACACGTCGGTATAGCTTTTCCATAGGGGTGTTCAGGAATTCAAAATTGAAGTGAATTTAAATTTAAAACAGGTGTCTAAACATATGTTTTATAGATTTTTAAATGGATTAAATATTTAAAACTGATATATTAAATTGGTAACGTTTAAATGTTCAAAACTGAGTAATGTATTAATAAATTTAAAATTACATTTTAAATTTACTGTATTAGAAAAATCTATTAAGTTTGGAACAAGAAACTAAGAATACGATTTTCATAACCATATCTCTTATAGTCTAGTAAAATAAGATTTTTTTTAATAAAGAATCAATACCCTGGATTTTTTTTCTTCATAAAAAGCTTTGTTCTGTTATTATAAATGATACGTGAAAACTCCCCATCTTTCATGTGAAACCTATCCGCTTTTTGAAAGAAATGGGGTGATTTGAGGAGGAGAAGGGAGCCTATTTTCCGTGAGAAATATTTTTCGGTATAAATCTTCCCACTGAATTTTATGAGATCATTCCAAGACGATCAGTCTAATAGTTTAGAAGTTATAAAGATTTTATGCATAAAAAGTACAAATTTGTACTTGATCCTATTTACGCTTTTGATATTGCTATCTCAAACAGTAAGACATTGTTTTCTTTAACGTGTAAAATCTGTGTTAGAGAAGGACAATATCTGATTAAAAGTAACCCACAGAACTGTATATAATATGGAAAAGAGACTATTAAACTTTTTTTTTATAACTGTAGGTGAAATTTACCACACATTGTTAGAAATTAATTTAAAAAACAAAAATTTTAACACCCTTTTTCCAGTAGATATTACAAAAACTTACTTAATGTCATACGTTAGCCTGTTCTAAAATCTTAATGGGAAAAATTATGAGAAAACTACATTTTACATATAAAAGTAAATGAAGTATGGTTGTTGTACCTTCTTTCCAATGAAATTTGTAGATAAAAAGTCATCAGTCTTTCCCCTCTAGTTATTATTATTTTGTGTCTTGTTTAAAGAAGTATATTAATTTTCAAACATTTTTATTTGCAAAACCTTTTTGTTCTTCAAAAATATGCGTGTATTCACAGAGTTAAAACTTTATGTCTTATCGAGTTCTTTTTTCCTTCTTATTTATTTCTTTTTTGTATGATATATATTCTTTAAAGAACGCGCTGATTTAACAAATGAAAAATTATTTGAAGTTTGAACTCTATTATTGCTAGCATAATCAAGAGTTTTTTATATATATATATATGTATTTGTAGTAATTGTTGTGCTAATTTACATTTTTTAAATTTATTTCGTCTACTTTTAGAAAGGGGAAAAATAAACGAAATGGGCATAAAATTACTTAAAAACGATTATGAAAAGAAAAAAAATCAATTTTAAATTTAAAGAAAAATTAATCTACCGTAACGTGGAGTTATAAAAGGAAAGTAAATGGCATGACAAAGGGAAGATTTTTAATAAAAATTGATTCAGAAAATTGTAAATATAACTAATTGTATGACAGTCACACTTTATTTACAGTTTTAAGTTGAATGGTATAAATTAAAAAATGGGGTTATTTATTTACATTGGAAATTTTAAAAAAATCATGGGCGATTGTCCAATGTAACACAGGGGCGAAGTACTATCCAGAGGAAAGAACGTTGGTGTCGATTCAATGCAACAACAAGAAACTCGCATTTAAAAGTAATTTTAGTTTTCAATTTTAAATTGAATTGAAAATGGAAACTCTAAATCCTCAAATGCCTTACTGAAAAATTTAAGTGCCAAATCTTCTACTATTATAAATCTTTTGACACGGAATATGCATAAGCTTTATTTCTGGCATCATTTCTCCTCTCAAAATTCCAATTTACGCTCATTTAGTGTTAATTCAGCAACAATTTATTTTTAACGATAACCCCCCCCCCCTAGCCTTGGTTATTATTGGAATCAATCCATTTCTAACAATACTAAATTCACTGAATATTTTCTGTTGAACGCTGGAAAAGTTTAGGTCTGAAACCGAGTTACTTACAATTTCTTTTAAAATAAATATTTTCAAATTAAATAAAATGCTCAACAAAATTCGAGGCAAGATGTAATGTGAAATTTTTTAAGGGACAGTAAAATATGATTGATATTTCTATTTATATGGAGGAAAAAAAAAAACTAAGGAAGGATAAGAATTTGTAGTAAAACAATTGTTGTATTTATCCCCTATCACCTTAACTCATTCGATTGCTTTAGAGGTTTCCAACATACATGAGGCCAGGGGCCACAATTAAAAACACAAATCAAATGGCGGAACGCAACTTATCTAAATTTTATCTAGGACTCTTTTATGTTTGAAGGAACATTAGATATTACTGTCAGATTTTTACCAAGTTGTACAAAACAAAAGTATCGAATTACAAATTAAAATAAAAAGTAGATTTTTAAAAATATTTAATTGTTATTAATAATATTTTTAAAAATATTAAATAAATAATAAAAATTCGGGCTACAATAACTTTAATGTGCACCTATGTATTAAACAATTAATGTGCAACAGATATCTAATTGTTAAGATATAAAGCTTTAAAAAGGTTGGTATTAAAACTTACATTGTAGCACACAAAATATTCAATGGGAAAATTGAGGTTTGTCTGCTGCAACCACCAGAGAATAGACATTTACACTTTAAATTTAAAATTTACACATGTGTGCTTAAATATTTTGGTCCAAAATGAGTGGTTTCAAAAAGTTAAATCGAAGAATTTCTTCGAGAAAAATTCTGATACGCACATGCTAAATTATCTTGACAAAATACAAAAAAATGAAATAAAAAAGAGCAACATACACGATTATTTTTGTATTTGAATAAATATTTTCTTGGATGCAAAACCTGAGAAATAAATTTTTTTGCACCGTCGGTATGTTAAATTTCACAGAAACGAAGATATTAAGTTTTTATTAACGAGAAAAGTATTTTAAACCCATATAGATTTTTTACGAAAATTGTCCGCAAAAAAAATGACAACTAATATTTTTTAGTTCGCGGGCCATAAAAAAAGGCTTCGCGGGCCGGATGCGGTCCTCCGAACCGTCAGTTGGAAACCCCTGCTTTAAAATAAGGTAAGACACATTGATTTTTAAAACGCATGACTGACTAATCGTAAATGAGTAACTTGTAAAATAGCTGTAAAAAACTTGTCTAATAGCTGATAACAGTTTTAACGAAAATTTGTCGGAATTTTTTTTTTAATGTCGTTATTTGTTTTGTTTTAGTTATTATATAGTTACTTAATTTTATTGTGTGCGGTGTAAAAAGAAATATCAAGAACTAAATTATTGTAAAGAATAAACATTGAATGCAAAATATTATGAAATAAACATTTTTCATTATGTTATTTTTAACTTGGATTTTGTTTATTAAAATATTTTGTTATCTATTGAAATATTTTTTTTCGTCTTATGGTTTACCTCTTTCAGATAGATACGTGTTTCCATTAAGTATGTAACATTGGCTATTTTTTTCTTTTGTTTTGTTTGCGTTCTCTACTATTTTAACACCTGACTTTGATTTTAACTCCATTTGATTGCTTTATATTGAATTGAGTACGTAATAATATTTGCGTTTAGAGCAGTGCAACCACTTTCAACTCTTGTAATAATTTATACTTTTAGCCAAATAATGATTTTTGAAATATAGATATAGGGGTATGAAAGTTTTATAAGAATTTTGAAGAGGTTGAATATAATATATTGTGAGTCTCAAATTTGTATGAGGCTCTTTTTTTTAAATTAAATATTTTATTTATTCCAAGTTCATAATTTCCAGAAAAAATAATATTGGTGAATTATTGTTTTGAAATAATGGATTTCTCAAAAAATAACTTTTCTATTTCTTTTAAAGTAATTATCTTTGTAGAAATAATAAAAATAATCATTTTTAACTAATTTAATTTCTTCTTACAATCATTACATTTCGTCAAATGAAAAGTTTTGAGCAAAATGCCGTTATTTGAACTCAAATTTAAAAGCTTAAAACGTAGGGCTACATCCAAATTACTAAAAACATCTTACTTTTAAACTTTATATTAAAGTAAAATTTCTTCGCAACCCAATTTCAATGAAAATAATACCTACCTTATAAATAACTTATTTCATTTTATGTATTTAATAACTTAATTTTTTTATTTTTTAAATAACTCAAATATTTAAATTTTATTTTATGTATTGCGTCATATTTAAATTAGAGCAGACTTTTAGTTGTCAACGTGCAACATTATTTAATTATTATATATTTATTACTTTGTTGATCGAAAATAAATTTGTTTAATTTTCTTTAACAGTAATATGTTTAAAGTTACTAGTTTTGTAAAATTTAGTTTTTTATAATAATTGTTTTGTAGTAAATATTACATTGTTACAATTTTAAAGACCATAGAGAGAATTAGTTTATGAAATATATTGCAATTTCAAATCTAATCCAGGTTTAGTCTTTACATACATCATAAATAGTTGAATTAAATATAAGCTTACCTCCAAATGAATATAATTCTCTGAATGCATTTTTTGAACCGATAAAAAAACTCTATTGAAAAATAATTAAAATATGTAAATTTTCAAAAAAAAGTTTATTGATTCAAATGTTGGAAAAAAATTTAATAAAATGTAAATAAAAGGAAAATATAATAACATAGGTAAAGAAATAGTCTACAAAATTAAAATAAAACTGCACTTAAAAAATATACTAAAGACAACCTGTAAAGTTACACAAAATTTGAGCTCATCGTTAGTAAGTTTCCTGACAGAATCTCTAGAAGGTTGTTTTATTTGAGAATCAGCCTATAAGTTAGGACAAATCGCAGCACCCTATATCCACTGGTTACATCTTATTTCAACCCTAAAAAGGCGCCCCTAAAATTCTAAGAAACTTTCCATTTATAACCAGACAAGTTATCTTCTCGTACACCCTATAGATATGCCACACTCACGCTACTCCTTAAAAATGATGACCCATACTAAAGCTATCAAGAAAAATATAGATCAGAGTATTTTGAAGCTGTGAACATTTTCCTATCGTAAAAAGAAATCAGCAAACTGATGCTCCTAACTTAAGTGCCTGATGTTCAAAGGTATACGAAGCATCAGTTTATAATAAGGAAAGTGCCCCTAGCGGCTTACGATAACATTTCTGGTCATGTGTTCCCATGCAATTCTTGCCTTACTTCCTCCAAAAGTTTGTCACAACTTTTACGGGATACCCTCCTGTATATCAAGGAACAACAACATTACAAAGAGCAATGAGTTTGAAGTCGTGTCGAGGTTTAGTTCATTAATCAAGTAATGTTTAATTTCGGAGGGGGTTTTGTCCCCAAATCCATCCCCAAAACTACGCCACTATCCTATAGTTTGAAGTTCCTAGGACCAGTGTCGGATTAAGCTTACGCGGGGCCCTAGGTCATTCAAATTTTTAGGGCCCTTAGATAAATTTTTTTTTCTCGTATGTTTTTTATTTATTCAAATATAAAAGTATTTATATATCTTTTCATTTAAGAAAGCACATTTAAAATAAAAATAAATAATAAATTAAATTTTACTTTTAATTAAATTTGAAATTTGATTAAAAGTGACCAGTTGTATGAGTTTTTTTCTAGAGTATATAAAACAATAAACAAACATTTACCTTTTAGTAAAAAATTTTGTAATTATTTATTGATCATATAGAATTACGGACACTAAATAATTATAAAACACTAAAAAAATTATGAGACACTTCAGTTGAGGCACTAAATAGCTTCTTTTTCATTTAAAACATGTCAACAACAAATTAACTCTTTGCTTCTTGTTTAAAGAAGTCTCAGCTCACTATAGTACTGCCTTTAATTTTTCGCGCGCAAATCAAAATAGCAAATTTGAACTTAAAACATTGATAAATCTTATTACATAAACTTTAATAATGCTTATAAATAATAACTAAAATAAGTAATAAATAAATATAATTAAGATTATGTAAAAAAATTATCGTATATTATTATATATTTGAAATTGATTTTTTTTTAAAAAATATTATTGTTTTTCTTAATTTTGTAAAATTTATTTTCAAAAAATCCATTTTAAGGGGGCCTCTAATCATTGGGGGCCCCAGGCCATGGCTTAATGGGTAATCCAGCACGGCTTAAGACGTCCATCGATTGAAAAAGAGAAAGATTAACATTGACAACAGTTATATAGATCTCTTCAAAATATCTTACACGCTTAGGTGGAATATATTAAGAGCCTTTAATACCATTTCATCTCGTGAAACCATAATTAGCCATGTAAGATAATTATTTTTAATGATATACTATTTCTGAGGAAAAACTTTTAAATGATTACAGATTAGAATCAAAATATATTTTTAGAGATTATTTACTTTTAGATAATGATGTTCAGTAGTTTATAATTGCAGATAATTAATTATTTCTTAAAGATACAATAAATAACGAAAGAAAAAGAAATATATTTATAGAAGAATATATTTCTACTATGGATTTAAAAAGAAATAATAATTTAGAGCCCAGTAAGAAATATTTTAATAATTTTATACTTTGTACCGTACCCGAAGCGTGAAAGGTTTCCCGAATTTCATTTGTAACCAGTATATATACAGGCAGAAATATTTATTTATAAATTTTTAATGTCGAATCAAACTGCGAAATTTTGGTGAATCATAGAATGAGTGATATTTTCTTTTAAATCTCATTTTCAATAAATAAAATAAAGTAATATACTAAGGCAACGGTAATAAAATAAGTTTTTCCATTTAAATCCTCATAATTTTTAGCAATAGCTTTTTTTCCAGAAATTATTATAACAGAAATTTGATTCACAGCTTCAAAAAAAAAAATTTTCTTTTTACAAAATGCAATAAATAAATATAATAAAAAGAATACTCAAATATATATAAAAAGAATACTCATTAACCACACTGAGTTATGTACTCATCCCTGCCGGGATTCGAACCCGGGACCTTTGGATTAGAAGTCCAACGCGCTATCCACTGCGCTACAGGGACTCGTCCTGACGAGTGAAATAAATAAAAAAATTTCAGATAGTTAGCTTTAAGATCTTTTAATTTTGTTACGTTCATAAGTGCAGTTAAAGAAACAGGTTAAAAACAAAATATATAATCAAAATCGCACGTTGCAATGCTTTAAAAATGTAAAATCTTTTTAAAAATTGTGTTACGTATCGAGTGATATATATTTAATCTAGGCCTAATATTTATTCATTACTTCTAAGTGTTTTATATATTTTTTTCTTTCTGAATACGGCCTCTACAAATTACCGCTTATGGGCGAAAGGTAAACAGTATGTTATAAGTGAAATACTGTTTTGTATATTCGTCTTTTGTTCTTTTTATTATTCAGGAAAACATTTTTGTCGTAGTCATATATGATTATTCGTATTATTTTTAAAACAAGTTACTATATTTTAGTATTTCTGTAATCGGCTTGGACGTTTAGTAAACATACAAGATTTGCTATGGAAGAATTATATAGCAGCGATGATTCAGGAGATGGTAAATAATTTTAGTTGTTTGAAATGTTGTTCATGTTTTTACAATTTAGGCATGTTAAAAATGCATCTATTTTGTTTATTTCGCACCTAGTCATTCCTGTAATGTTTGTGTTTAAAATACGTGTATTCATTCTGTAAACAGTTCTTGAAGAAATTTATAATTTTTAATCATTATCATAATTAATTGCCTATTGTATTATTTTCATTTTACCTTAGATTCTATCAAAATTTATAACTCTTTTAATTTTAACAGGAATGAAGGTAAACTATAAACTAAAGTATTTAAAAAAATTAATAAAATATAAGCTTACATAAAAAATCTGCTTGATTTTAATTATGATCCAGAATTTTACTGTAATATAATTTGAAATTCATGTACACACACTATGTGGTTTGACTTGTAGGATTCCCTCAAGCAATTCCTACAAGTTTTTTCCTTCAAGTTTTCAAGTAAAAAATCCTTTTGTCGCTTTAGCAATTGTAGTTGGTTCAAATAGATACCAATATCAAATATTCCCAACTATTTTATCATAAAACACAGTTAGCATCTATGCTACTCTATTGCATTTTGTTATATTTCTTTAGAATTTGACAGTGAATCAATTTTTGTTGTTTAACTGTTTAGTCTCACTTGATGTGTTTAGAACATCTATGTGTAATGCTCTAGTGCATAATCGGGGTTTTGCCTTTATTTTCTTGTTTCTTTTTACCTGCTTTGTCAGTTACAACACATAGTAACTGTTTTATTGTAAAACACAGTATAACATCCATGTTTCTCTACTGCATTTTGTAATTTTCCATTAAAATTTTACAGTGAATCAATTTTTGTTGTTTAACTGTTTAGTCGTACTTGATGTGTTTCGAACATCCACGTGTAATGCTCTAGTGCTTCATCTGGGTCTTGCCTTTATTTTCTTGTTTCTTTTCCTTTTTACCTGCTTTGTCAATTACAACTACAGTTAATTGATGAAGACAGCACTGACGATGAATTTCCCTAAAGAGCAAATTTTATCCTAATTGCATGCAATCCTGTAAATTATAAAAATAGCATAGGTAAAATAAACCTATATTTTTTAGTAGACAAAGAAGTTTTCAATCAAAGGGAAAGAAAGGAAGAAAATTATTTAAAACTTAAATTGAGGCAAAGATATCTTATAATTAAATGATAAATTCAAAAGTAGATACTGGAGAAGGGATGGCAAGTTTCTCCTACAATGAAGAAAACTGTTCTGGAGGAAATAAGTTTCTTCCAACCTGTTGGAAGAGATTTAAAATATTCTTATTAAAAAAGAAGTATTAAATGTTACAATACATTTTTAAAACAGATTATGATTGCAATCTAGTTTAAGAAATGATATAAATGTTAATGTTAAAGTATTTTTTTTAATTTTTTTTATTTTATTTAATTTTTTTGTTTTAAAAAAATTAATAAAATGAAAAAAAAAGTTGCTGGAGAAATGAAAAGTACCTTTAGCTACTTAATATTTCATTTTTAAATATGTGTAAATATAAAAATCAGCATTTGAAAAGAAAAATAAATTTTGTGATTTTTTTCAAAAATTAAAGTAGCTTTAGTCCTTCAGTATATTATGTAAATGAGTACAGTAAAACCCTATTTTTATGTAAAAATCTTAGAACATTAATTTTAAATCAAATATGTTAAATCAAGTTATATTAATACTACTAAATTTACAAATCACGTATTAAACATCTACACTATTTCAAATCACAACAGTTACAAAATAGCATACTAATTTGTATAATCAAGTACTGTTAAAGATGAATACTCAAATCGACTCTTACTTTATGTTGTACAGATTTTAGAATTCTGTTTGAAACTGAAATAAATAACTTGAGAATAGTTTTGAAGAGAATTGATCTGAAAAACTTTTAACTTTCTTGTGATATATTAAATTTAATTTCTTAAATTTAAGCTATTCTTATAAAACTTATTCCTAAACAATTATATTAGTCTTTTATAGTTTCTTTATTTTGTTTTGTTTTTCTGGACGAAATTTTTAAGCCTTCCTTTCCCCTATATATTCATACTATTTTCTTGCCTTTACGAAAGTAACCTAGGTACTATTTTGTTTCAAGAATTATAAAAATATTGCCAGATTATTATTGATGCCTAATTAATTATGATTGCAGGTATTGCTGGTATTTTGGTACGGTGATCATCACTTATGAAAAACTTAAAATATGAAATCAGCATTTTTTTAAAAAAAAATTCGAATCTGCAAGAATGGAATCATTGCAGTAAAAAAAAAAAGATATGCTCAAACCATCCTTTATATAAAATCATAAATGCCCTTTCGAAAACTAAAATTTTTGTGCGGCATATGTTTAAAATAATTAAGAACTCTGCTCTTTATTTCTTCTATTTTCTCATCTTTGGAAAGCATATAAATAGCAAATTTTTTGTGCTCTGCCAACAAACAAAGTTACAGACTTGGATTACACCTCTTAGGGAAATAAAAAAAGGTTAGTTAAAAAATTATAAAACAGGGATTGTAAAGGATACGAGATTGAATAAAAATGTCGATCATCATTGAATGTCAATAATTATCACTCATTGAATAATGTAAATCTATCTTCAATTGTGGTGTAACTACCACTATAAATATTAAATACCAATTCACTAGTATATAAGACATGTTAACTTGATTCTATCAAGAGGTACCTTTTGATTGATGAAGGTTGGCATAGTCGATTTATAATTCCCCACAATGGTGAGCCGGACGTGATAGGAACTTGCCAACATTGATGGATGGGCCACATTAAACAGTTGATTTGCTTCAAAAAAATAATAAACTGCTCAAAGAAAAGAAGAAGAAAAAATCCGGTGAAGTAATAAACAAAAATGAAGAAGAAAAAAAAATTGACATAGTCGATTTATAATTCCGCACACAATAAATATCAGAAAAGTATTTAATGTTTTAAATGAACTTTGCAGAAAAGGATATACTGAAAGTTGTGAACTCCCAAACCATGTTGAATCTTTAATTTTAAATTTCCTGAGTCAAACAAATTTTCTAATATTTTAAATCCCTTCCGTAAATTTAAAAAATATTGTTCATTTTTAATTGAAATAACAAATGTAGATTCAGTATTAAAATAAAATATAAATGTAGCAATCAATTTAAATTTTAATGTATATGTAAAGTTTAATTCTGAATTTTTTTTTCTAAGCATCGTTATTCAGTTTATTAAAATCAGCTGCCTTATATAACCAAATGTTCTCAAAACAGACACGATTTTAACAGTTGACAAATGCTGTAATAGCTTTTCTACAGCCTACTGAAATGTGTAGCTGTTTATATATAGTAGAGCCCCAGTTTTACTTTGCTTTGTGTTTTTATCTTGCTTCCTACATCATTTTCTGTTGTCTGTGAAAATTGACTATACCGATATTGTTAAAATATCCTGCTAATTAAGTTACACTTTTCTAGAAAATTCCGCTTTTATATGTTTTTCTGAAAGATCAAAATCATTTTTTCTCTACTAAGCCCATAGATACAAACATTTTTCAAGTTCTTTGAAAAAAACAAATGCTTTTTTTAAAAAAAAAAGCAAGATTTGTTTCTCAGCTGTTCATAGATGTTTCGTTCAGCTGTTTTTACAATTAGATGTTCCGTATATGTATGATTAGATGTACTTTCAAAGATGTTCTGTTCAGTTGTTCTGATGATTAATACAAGATGTAACAGGAGAGTAAAAAATTGAGATCTTACTGTGTGATCATAAGTCACTGGAATGGGAAATAAGGATTGTTTCAAAACTGATATCATGGGTTGTGAAAGGTGAATTGCTTGATCACATGCATGCGATCAAGGTCCTGAATGGGTTAATTCTTAAATGCTAAGATACAGAATGTAGTCTATATCTATAAAGGTTCTATTTATGCTTTTCAATTCAACTTAAAAATTTTAAATTAAGAATTATACAAATTAAATAACTATGAAAACAGTTTTAAAATTTTATTATCATTTTTTTAAAAAAGAATATTAATTATTTTTAACTTTCAGGTAAGTCTAACCGAAGTCCTTCTCCTGAACAAAGCTCTCATTCTGAAGCAGGGGATCAAAGTGATCAAGAGTCAGGACAAGTTGCCAGATCATATCGCAGTGAACGATCTGAAGCAAATGATAGTGACTCTGGTGATGGAAGAGCATCATCTCCGAATGGTCAAAGAGATTCAGATGATGCTTCTGAAAGACAGGATTCAGATCAAGAATCTAGAGGTCAGCAATCAGATGAGGAAATGCAACAATCTGATGCTGAAGCTCAACAATCTGGAGCTGAACATTCAGATGGAGAAGAACAGCAATCAGATGTTGAACAACAGTCTGAGGCTGAACAGATGTCTGAGGCTGAAGATGAAGCTCCACAATCCGGAGGAGAGCAGCACTCTGAAAATGGGGAACAATCTGATGTTGAAGCACAACAGTCAGATGCTGAAGCAGAACATTCTGAAGCTGAGCAATCAGGTGCTGAGGCTGAACAATCTGAGGGTGAGCAATCTGATGTAGAAGCTCAACGGTCAGATGCAGAAATGGAACATTCTGATGTTGAAGCACAACATTCGGATGCTGAAGTTCAGCAGTCAGATGCTGAACAATCTGATACTGAGGCTCAACAATCTGATGCTGAAGCAGAGCAATCTGATGTGGAAGCTCAGCACTCTGATGCTCAGCAATCAGATCCTGAGGACCAACAGTCAGATGCAGAACAGCACTCAGATGCAGGTCAGCATTCTGATGCAGAGCAACACTCTGCTGGGGAAGAACAGCAATCAGATGCTGAGATGCAGCATTCTGATGCAGAATCTGAGGCTAGGCATTCAGATGCAGGATCTGAGGTGCAACACTCTGATAGGGAGAGTGTTAAAAATGCATCCGGAGATGATGCTTCTGAGCATCAAGTGTCAGATGAAGAAAATGATAAAAGTGGTTCTGAAGATGAGCACAATTCTGCACGTAGTGCTACTCCACAAAGTGCAAGAGTTCCATCAGATGCAGAATCTCCAAGGGGTAGTCCAGTTGCCTCTGATAGGGGTAGCCCGGCTGAGGAACTTTCTGATAAAGCACATTCTGATGCCGAAAAAGAACAATCAGATGTAGCGTCTGACAATGAGCGATCTGATGATGGTCGAAGAGAAGGTTAAAATTTTACTTTTTTCTTAAATTTGCTTTAAACCCACTAGCAGTTTCGCCTTTTTTATTTTTGTTGTTTCCAAATGTTCACAGTTTTTTTTTTATACAACTGTTGTGAAGACTAATTTCCCCCACCCTCCAATTAGAAAACTGATATGAAGAATTGTTTTTCTCCAATCTAATTCTAAATAGGTGGGTGTTCCATCTTAAAAAAAAAAAGTGAGTTTTTTTTTTCGTGTGCAGGCCCATTTGTAGGTAGAAAAAGGAGTGAGATTTTTAACGTGCATTAGGAGTATAAGAAAATTCGTCTTTCTACATGTAGTACTGCCGGTCACTATGTCATGAGTAGACAAAACTATTACAAATACTTCATTACAGAATTCCCATGGTATATTATTATAATATTTATGTATACAGTCGGACTTCTATTTAACGAACTTCCATTTTGCAATTTTTTTCGAGGTACCAAGAACATTTTGGAAATTTCTTTGTAAAATAAGTTCCAAATAACGAAGTGAATTCTCTATTTAACGAATTTTTCTTTGAGATCCACTTTCCTTATTTCTCAAAATATTTCAGAACATTTCAAACTTATTAACACATTTTATGGGGGAAATGACCTCATATTGATTTTCATAACCACTGAATTTTTAGAGAAAGCAGTAAAACCCCTTTCCCTTTTTGTTAGCATTTCAAACGAAAAATTCAGATAAAACAGATTTTATCAGTAGCAATTACACTTAAGAACGCATATGGTAATATATGTTTAAAATTACTTTTATAATAAATACAGCTATAATTTTATACATAAATTTAGCTTTTTTTAGTTGAAATTGCATGTAGCATGATAGTGTAACACTGAATAAATTTTTGCTCTATTCTTGCTTTCCATGTAGATTTCTTTTATGTTTAAGATTTATAAAATAAATAGTAGATACTAATTTACAAGATAAAGGTGTATCAATTGCTTTTTTAATTATATCTAATGTGTATGAATTTAAAACATGTTTTGTGTTTAAGTATTTCGAAAGGTGATTTTCTATTTAAAGAATTTTCCATAAAGCAAACTTATCGTGATTTAGTGACTTCGTTAAATAGAGGTCTGACTATATTTTTCTTGTTGGTAGCAAAAGTAATATATAATGATATTTTAATTAATAATTTAACCAATAAATTTTAAATTAATTTTACTCTCCACTATTTATAAGTAATTCAAATAAGTGTAGAAATACACTAATGAATGGTCATTCACTTAAATTTTGAAAAAATTTCATAAAAGTTATATTTATTTTGAAAATTATACTTTCATTTACATCCAGTGGAGAAACTTCAAATGTTGGAAATACACTAATGAATGGTCATTCTCTTAAATTTTGAAAAAATTTCATAAAAGTTCTATTTATTTTGAAAATTATACTTTAATTTACATCCAGTGGAGAAACTTCAAATGTTGGAGGAACCCAAATATTTACTCTTAATTCAGAAATACTTATTTATATAAACACATTGTTATTCTATCCATTGCCAACAAAATTTTTTACTTCTGTTCTAAGCATAATACTAGTTTTAGGCAATTTTTTTTGCTAAGTAATAAACGCCAAGAGAACTGTAAAATCTAAGTAAAATAATTAATAAAAATAAAAGAATGTGAATATAACTTGTTTTGACTCTAAAACTTACCTATTGCAACACTTCACTAGAAGACTCTTCCCTAGAGCCTTATATCACTAAAGAGTGAATATAATTTTTTACGAAAAAAATTATTATTGATTAATTTATTGAAGAAATGTACAAAGATTATCAATTCAAAAATGGGATTCTTGTTTCCACGTGAGGCTGCAATGTACTCTTTAATTCTCAATAAGAAAAAATATACTCAATATTTCAGTATCGTTTTGATCATAGATTACGGTTAGGATCACCTTGAATAAGAATAGGTGGTTCTGTCACTCTATTCATTCATATACCTGTTTTTGAAATAGTTTTCTTAGAAATAAAAATCAAAAATAAAACTTTGATAGCTACATTGGAAAGAATGGACTGGTTCATTCTTCCTAATGGGAGTTAAAATAACATTGCATTGATTTGATGGAATAGTAAATGAGCCTTAATATGTTGGTCATTATAATGGAAGGGTCATCAGGGGTCTGTCCAGGCCAAATTTACTACCGTTTAGCGGTACCTTCACAAATTCAACTCTAGGAAAAAATGGTTGTTTCACAAAATACTTTTTCTTAAAATTTCATTTTTGTATCCCGTAAGAAATGATAAATCAATATTTTTGTGTTGATTTTTTAATATAATTTTTAATTTTCACAAATTATATCTAAATTTTCATAAAATAGGTACCTCTCAGAAAAATTTAGACAGACCCCAGATCATAGTAATGGTAATATAAACTGTTTCAAAAAATATCCTGCTTTTTTTGGAAAATAGTCCTGATTTATTGTTTTTGCCTACTGTTATGCTATTTACTTTTTTATATTTTATTGTGAATTCTTAACATTTTACTTGTGGTAGGTACAATAACTGAATAAGAATAGTAGTTTTTAAGAATATTAATGACTGTATTCAAAAGGTTAAGAATGGAAATAAGTAAAAAATTATTTACCTCTTACTTTATATTCTTGAGTGTTGTATGAATAACTTTCTAATGTATTTTTAAGACTTAACAAATTTTTGCAGATTCAGATGATGAAGATGTGGTTCGACCAAAAAAGAAACGAAAAACTGTATCTCATGAATCAGGTAGCAAACATTTTTTTAAAAATTGAAATGCAACAAATTAAATATATTTTTGAATACATATATTATTGAATATTTATATATCTTTTATATATGTAAAATGAAAAATGTATAGAAATAATGCGTATTGTTTATACTTGCTTTTTAAGTAGTATTTATCCATTATATTATCTACTTGCATGTTTGTGTATATACTATGCATGTACAGTGCGCAAAAAAGAAACAAAACATCCTGTATAATTTTTGATCTAATGACTGGATTTTCATGTACTAACTCCCAATATTAATGGTATAGAGGGTGTGATCTCAAATATGCTAGTTAAAGCAAACAATATTTTAATTTATGAAGTCAATTTAAAATAAATTTAAAATTGTTTAAATAAATTTAAAAATGTCTGCACAGAATTATAAATTTGTTCAGACAAAATAATGTGCATACAATAATAATTTTTTATAATAATTTATTGTTTTTTCTTATTTTATTCCAATAATAGCTGAAAAATTTTGAATTGTAATGTATATAAATTTTAACATCATCTAAAGGAATGTAATTTTATATGGAAAAATACCAAATTTGAATGAAATCGGTATAATAGTTATTGTGAAAGTGAATTTTAAAATGTCAGATATTTAAAATTCTGTTTCTCAGGCGCTATTAGATTGATTTCATTCAAACTTAGTATTTTTTCATAGAATGAGACATTCTTTCAAATGGTGTTAAAACTTGTGCACTTACAATTCAAAATTTTTCGTCTTATTTAATGAAATAACAAAAAATAATAAGCATTCACTAGAATAAATTTTTTTACATAATTATCTTAGGTAAACAAATTTTATAGTTTTGTGAAAACATTTTCCATTTCCTTAAAATGTTCTTTAGATATGGTGAAATATGCAAACAGTAAAATTAAGTTTAAAGGAGTTCAAATTTACGATTTCTTCTGAGCATTTGAAGATATGGTCCCAAGTGCTTTCTTAGGAGCATGTTTCCCAGATTACCCTGAGAAATATGGCCCTACTCCCTATACTTTGGGAGATCGGGAATCATAACATTGGGGGGAAAAAAATTTTTTTTTGTTGCATTTATACAAATAGTTGATCTTATTTGATTTGGGTGTAGATATTTTATATCTGAAGTTACTTTTGCCCCATAGCCTACAGATTTTTTTTTAAATAAATTTTTTTGTCCACTTTCTTTCGTTAATGTAACTGAGGGTTTGTGATAAATGTTGCATGGATTGCGTAAATGTTGCGACTCCTTAGAATCTTGCCACAACATATTTGCAACCCTATGTTATTTATAATATTTTGAAACGTGTACATTTCGACTAAAAATGTCCTTTAAAAAAAAGAGCTGTAGCTTGGAGAGAAACCGATAGCAGATTTGAAATCAGCTATAAGAAGGTATCTGAGATCTGTCAAAAAATATCCTGCAATAGAAAAAAAAATTATTTCCCACTGTAATTGATAAAAAAGGGTTTATATCGAGTAAATACATTATTTTTTCGTAAATTGTTGCCCTGATTTTTTCTTTGGTCTATTACAAAGCCTGTGCTAGTATACCTAGGAAAACTTTATTGCAAATAGTAATGTTTTTTGGTAATCACTGTGAATTTTTCTAAATTTCTTATAATAAAAAAATTACTGATTTTTAATATTAAAAAGCAATAAAGTAAAATTATTTGGTTTAACAAAGAAATCTCAACTATAAATGTAAATCATATTTACAGAGAAAAACTTACTGACATGATTGTAAAATATATTTTAATTAAATTTTCTTTCAGATTATACTGAAACAATTTTCATTTTATGTCATGGAACAAAAATGAATGCAAAACAATCGTAAGGTTTTATAGTGGCAGCAGATGATTATAATTAACTTATACTCCAATTTAAATAATAAAAAATTTCATTTCATATTATTGTTTCTTTAATAATAAACTTAAATAATATACTAGCCTGGAGCCTTAATTTCCATAAACTCGCTTGGTCACATTGTCTGTTTAGAAATGCTTTACCTCTACTTATAGTCTTGTAAATATTAAATATAAAATTTATGAATTGTATTTTTTTTAAAGTTATTTTTACTTTTAACATCTTAATTTATTTCAGATTCAAATGAAGATAAAGAAGAAAGGGGCAGTGAGAATGAAGATGCCTCTGGAGATGGTAAAATTTATTTATTTATGATTTTTTTAAGTTGAGGTTTTCGACCCAACATAAACTTAAAAAACCCCAATAAAACCCAGGCTTGAATAGGTTTTTGGTGGTTTTATTAACCATAATCAAACTCTGCCCTAGGTTTAAATCAATTGTTATTTCTTGTTTGACTTTGAGCCCGCCTATAAAACTTATAGTATAACTTTAGTAATTTGAATTAGAAAACTAACTCAATACTGATTGTTTATTTTCTGGCATTTCTAAGTAAAATCTGTTCTATACATATCTTTTTTTTTCTGATAAAATCAAATAACTATAATGAATATAAATAAATAAGCATTATTATGTTGGAATCCAAAATGTTTGCTGGTTTTATTTTAATAAGATAATGAATCTGTAACTTAAATATTAATTGTACAAAAAACATTATTTTACAAATTTCATAAACAATGGAAAACAGCCAAATGAAGAGAGCATATTTCTCTGACCAACGCAGTGTTCCGATTATAAATTCCAATAACTGACTTCAGTTCAGCTATTTCTGCTTGTTGCTGAATTGAAGACTGATATCATTGAAACCGTAGATAATATGGATGCTACTGTGCACTATGTATTTGTAAATGGTATGCAACATCATGTATTCTAATCTATATTGGTGAATATATTGACTGTTAAGAGTAGTGTTTTTACTTTAGTACAACAAAATTTTCCCCCTCTCCTTTTATATAATCCATTTTTTTCACACCTGGGTTGGACAAAAAGTGAGTGAGTATATAAATATTATATGTATTTAGAGGTCCTGATATAAATGTACCAAAAAATACTAAACGAGCTCCCATGTTCGATTAAGCCTCCACCCATAGTTTCAAAGGGTTTAAAAGATTTCATAGACATAGTTTCAAAAGATTTAAAAAACCAACAACATTATTCATATTAAGATGAATGATTCTTTTTTTAAAAAAATTAACAGGAGTATCTGCAGAATTTAAGAAATTAAATATCGCAATTAAAAACTTAAAATTGCAATTTCGATTTATTAAATTTTAATAAAAAAATTCAAGAGATTTTAAAAAGCAAATGTGATTCATATTCACGGGTTTATATAATCACACATCACGATTCGTAATCGCACGACTTAAAAATCCAATATCACAAATTGTGTTTAGTGTGTTTTTAAAATTGAATATTACGATTCATATTCACATGATTTTAATATCAAATATCGATTTATGTACATAGCTTTTTATGTGGTATTTAAAAAAAAAATTTGTTCTCAAGCTATATAAATAAATTCTTTTGTTCTTTTCTTTAGAATCGATAAAGAAGAAAAAAAGGAAAAGAAAGTTTAGTGGTGACAGTCAAAATGATTCTGATCATGGTATGAAAGAATTACTGTATTTTTATTATATTTTTACAGTTTTATTTGCCATTTTATCTTAGTGTTTAAGTTAAATTTTTTTTTGTTTTTTTAAGAAAAATTTGTTACATTATTAAATTTCTCTCTTATAAAAAGTTGAGTTTTTTTGCATGCATTTAAGATAATTAGGTATCTTTACAGAGCTTGTTTTATTTAGGTTATAGAAACTGTAAAAGAAAATAAATTTTGTCAAACCCATTAAAATCTGAGCTTAATTTATTTTATAACAACTATTAAATGTCATGAAGTCATCTAGAAATTTCTAAAAAAAAAATTCTAAAGCTTTCCAGTAAGTGTGGTGGTTAGAGTCTTCACTTTACTTGCCACTGCTAGGACCCGGGTTTGAGTCTCCTTGTTAAAGACTCGGATTTTATTGAATTGTACTTTCTTCCTTTGTGTCTTAGTGATTTGTTCTTAGTAGTTTCTGAACCATGAAGGTCCTCAGATGGTTAGGCAGCTAGAGAGAGTGGTGTCAAGTTTGAGTTATTACTATCACCCTGGTGCCCTCCTATATAAATATTGGTATAGTGCATGCATGTGCCAGTATGGTCTCCAGATTGTTGGCAATAGTGTAGCCACTTTAGCAAGCGCCACTTTCATTTAACAACCAAATAAATATGGTATGAATGAAACCAATTTATGAATAAAAGATGAAATTAAAATACCAAAAATTCTCAAATATTATATCTGAGCTGTGGTGACTCATGGGATAGAACGCTCCCCTTCCAATGAGTTTAACCAGGTTCGAATCCCAACTATGGCTGGTCTATACGAATTCTGCGCCTGTCTCGCTCTGATCACATAAATGTCTTAGTTACAGATCATGGGTCCCTTGCCGTTAGGCTAACCCTGAGAGGTTTTGCTGGTTTCTCTCTCCATGTAATGCAAATGCGGATTAGTTCCATTAAAAAAGTCCTCCATGAAGACAATTTCACCCAATACTTGATCCAGGAGCTCCCTTGTCTTCTGAATCGGGTTTAAAATTACGAAGCTACGGAGTTTAATATTAGTACTCGTAAACTTATTCGGCTCGTAAACTTATTCGTAAGTCGGCTGCTCAACGACTGCGATAAAAATAAATAAATGAAATATTATATCTCTTAATCCAATGAAACAAAGCTTTTCCTTTTGGAATGTTTTGTGCTATTGAATGACAATGTCATAAAGAGCATAGGTTCCCTATGTGGGAGTTGATTCCCCCTCCCATGAATGGGGAAGACTTTTAGGGGGGAACTAGCATGATTATAGCTATTATAGGGATGTTAGAATGTCTTTAAATTATGGATGAAATTAGTATCGAGTATGTTTTAAAGTTCTTACATTTTTTGGTTTGATATTTAAGTTTGTATTGTTTTTTTCTTAAATATTTAATTTTTTAATTGAAACTTTGAAAGTGATATATTGAATTTATTTGTATGCAACCACATAAAAATTTTGTTTAATATATCAGTTATTTTCAATTGCTAAAAGTTGTGATTATAAATTTGTACCACAAAAAAAGAAAATGTAAAAAGTTTAAAACGTTTTTAATAAATATTTATTATTGTTTTTTTTATTATTCTATTTATTTTTTATTTTTTTCTAAAGAGGTGTTAGGAATTTTTTGACTTGTAAAGTGGCGGATGAACCTAAAAACGTTGGGGACTTATGATTTAAAGTTTCTTAAGAAACAAAAAAAAAAGCATTTTAGAATACAAAAACCAAAAGTAGCGTAGGCAGAGCTAATTAAAAGAGCATTCTTTGCTAATTAAAAATATTCAAATACATTGTTTCTTAATTTGAAAACATTAAAAATGACATTTTTTTTTAACTTTTGTATATGCAGTATCACTTAATTTTTCAGATTCCAATTTAGAATCTAAGAAAAAGAAGAGATTGATTATCGATGATTCTGATGGAGGTTGGTAAAAATAATTTTTCATTGTCTTTTATTTTATTTACTGTGGTTTGAATCATAAGTAAAAACAAAACTCTTCTTAGATTCAGGAGAAGATCGTCCACGTCAACTTGATTCCGATGCTGGTTAGTTTGTTTTCTTATTATAGGCAATTAAAAATGAAATCTGGCTTTTATATTATCTGATAACAATGGCTGCTATTATTTACATAAAAAGTATCAAAAGTTGGTTTAACTTTCCAAAATTTGTCAAAAACAAAATAGTCACAAAATTATTATGCATGTTAAATATATTCAATCTCATGGTACTTATATACTGAAGCCTGTCATTCTGGTCATTGTTATACCCATCACTATCAAATGTTTAAAACATAGCAAATTTATATATAAATACATGCAAATGGATAAATGATAGTATCTAAATTAGGTGTGCACAACCTTTTTGAGTGAAGGGCCACTTGCACAGCAGGTTGGATAACGAAGGGCCGCACATGTATTGAGACATGTTAATGACTAATATAGTAATGTTTATTTAAACATTAGCGTTCTATTTTTTTATCAATAAACTTAGTAATATATTTGTAAAAAATTAAAGGTGTTCCATTTTTAGAATTCATTCAAAAGTAAAAAAACTTATAACATTTTTTTTACAAAAAAAAATTGCTATTTTTATCATATGAACAATAGATTTATCAAAATAAATAAACATTGAAGAAAAGTTTTTTTTTAATCATATCATGCAATACGAAAATTCATTTTAGAATTACGAGGCGCATCCAGAAAGTAAGTTTCTCAATTTTTTTTAAAAAAAA